TCAAATTTCATAAATATTTAAAAGAATATATTTCTATAATTATTTTGCTTTTCTATTTAATTATAATATTTATACAATTTTTACTTAATTTATATTTAATGTAATTTTTATATCTTAATTTTAATTTTATAATAGAAAACATATTTTAAAGATAACAATATAATGCATAAATTATTTATTTTCTGAAAATATAATATGATAATTTTTTAATTATATAAAATTATAAAAATTATGACATACAATTAAAACTACCTAAAATCATGGAGAACTTAATGAATCAGAAATTAAATAATTTTTCTTAAGTAATGGTTTATATTTGATTCATATTAGATAATTTTTCTATTATACTTTCAAATTATATAATATAAAAGTATATTTTCAAGATAACAACATAATACATAAGAATAACTACAACTTTTTCTATCTTACTTTTAAATTTATAATACAAAATATATTTTCAAGACAACAATTTAATACATAAGAAATATCTTATTTTCTAAGAATCTGATACTATTAATATAAAATTGTTTTATATATAATAAATTATATATAAAATTAAAGAAATTATGATAAATTATCAAAATTACTTAAAATCATGGAAAATATGGAAAATCAACAAACATCAAATTCACTTCTTAAATATAATATTATAGATTTTTTACATGTTAATTTTAAATTTTATAATAGAAAAATATATTTTCAAGATAATAATAATAAGAATTAACTTATTTTCTAAAATATAAATTTAATTATTATATTATAATTCTCTTATAAATATTTATTTGTTGATGTTTCATTAATTTAAAAATCAGCATAATAAGTTATTATTTATGTTTTCAAAAAGTAAAAATCCAACATCAAATAATTATTAATGACAAAACTCAAATTTCATAAATATTTAAAAGAATATATTTCTATAATTATTTTGCTTTTCTATTTAATTATAATATTTATACAATTTTTGCTTAATTTATATTTAATGTAATTTTTATATCTTAATTTTAATTTTATAATAGAAAACATATTTTAAAGATAACAATATAATGCATAAATTATT